CTTTCATCCACTTACTGGGGTTCAATTATCACCTCTATGACTAATACTCCAAAATCTATATATGCAGATCTATGTATGCAGTCTCTATCTCTCTCCCAAGCCCTAAGTCTGGATCTTCAACAGTTTGCTGGGCTTCTATATAAGGATGTTTTGAAATTCAACATGTTCAAAAGTGAACTTGTCACCTTTCTCCCTAAATTCACTCCTTTTCCAAATTTCCTTACTTCTTTTGATGTACATCCTCCTAGTTACCCAGTCTTGAAACTTCTGAGTTATCTTGTATTTACACATCTCCCTCACTCCTCATATCCAATTAATTTCCAAATGCTGTTAATTTTACCTCCATGTTTCTAATTTCCTTCTCCTCCTCTCTACTCTCATTGCCATCACCCTTCAGAAGCTCTAATTATATCTTATTGAGACTATTATAATTGACTCTTCCTGGTCCTCCACCTCCATTTTCTCCCCTCTCCAATGGATCCTCAATTCAAATACTCTCATCAATATAATGTTCCATCTAACAATGCAGATTGCGAGCCATACAGAGGCATATATACCCATTCTGGATTTCCTGGCCAAAGTTTTTAACCAAGTCTTAAGCAGTTTGAATATGACTCTACAGCTTTGCACAACAAATGATGACTTTATGCTTCTTACATGCTTGGGGTCTGGGGAGTTTGTGTGAAAGCTTTGTAGGGGAGAGACATTCTTCATCCCTGCTTTAAGAGAGACCCATGTCATCTCAAATTCTCTTTGGGACTGACTACAAGGAAGAGAAAGAGAAAAAAAATTCTTTGGAAATTGCGAATATGTAGGGTAAACTGGAAACTCTTTGTATCCTTGATTTCACTTCCTTCCTTAGACTTCAGAGAATTTCCTTTTGTTGAAATCTGGGTCTCTTTCTTGGTGGAGGTGAAAAGATCTCACTCGCATTTAAGGAGCTCATTCGCTTGTGCATTTTCAGGCATATTCTAACATAAAGTACTTTTCTGAATTTCATTTGCCATTTACTTAAATAAATTGGTTTACTTGCTATTCACCATTTGTGATGATCTTTTATGTAATTAGCATTTGGTGGCAAGGGGACGAAACAGGCCTGCACAACATACAGCCGGCCTAAGGATTTCAGGTGGGCCAAGAAAAACATAGGGTTGCCACTGCACACTCTCCTGTTTGTCCCGTGGCTACCCCATTGTCAATCTATCTCTAGTCTAACCTATCCATGGCCCAAACCTACTGCAAAGTTGTGCAGGTCTGGGCCAAAAGGTGAGTGTAAGCTTGTGGTGCCCTCTCTTTTAAGGAATAGTGATCAGGATATTAGCTTTTAGAACTTAAAAAATCATGCCCCTAGACCATTAATATTGGGGGGGAGGTGGCATGTAGATATAATTTTAACCTGATAGTAGCCTCTCTCAAAGGAGAATAGAGCAATCATATTCATGGACCCTTCTCCTGCTCGTCTGAAGGACAGAATTGAAATGGAAAGAGGTGTTCAATGTTCCAGAGATTCTATTATGCCTCCCCTCAAGGCATCTGTCTATATGTTTAGCCATTTCATGTGGCTATACATATCATAGATGAATAACAGGCACCCTACATATACAACTCTTGTCTGTGTCCTTCCCTAAATTTATTACCATCCCAAGTGTCCTCCTTGTTTTCTTTTGACATTATATGGACAACAGAGAAAAGCAAGTTCTGTCCATCAGCTGTACTTTGCTCTGGACATGTGGTCATTCCATCTTCTTTTTCAGTCAAGCATCTATTTGATGACATAGTTCACTTCGTTTCTTCATAGTTTTTTATTCATTCTATGTTACAGGATGATCATATCCACCTCTCCTCTCCATTGCCTTCTGCATGATATAGTTTTTATTCTTTAGAGATCATAACAGTTCATGATTTGCAGACATAGAATTTGAAAAATAATCTTCTAAAATAAAGCTTTGATCTATGTCACTCCTCTATTCAAGAGTTTTCTGTGCTTTTCACTCTCATTTCACACTAGGTCCCTCCCACCACCACCATCACTTTATATACTCTCTCTTTAAGCCAAACTAGACAACTATCTGTTCCCAATTTCATCCTGTACCTCCTAGTTCCCTACAGTTGAGCAGACTCTCCTCTATGTGTGAAATGCATCATCACCCCATCTCTACCTATTACGGTCCTGTCTTCCTTCAAAGCCTAGCTCAGGTGCTGCTGATGTAACTTTGCCTTTTTCTTTTATGTCACCTGTATGTGGTATCACATTCTGTATTGTAGGTTCAAGCATTGCAACCTCTCATCCTATATTAAAGTTACTATGACTAGATTCATGCCATTCAATTATATCAAATGTTTGTTCTAAGGTAAAAACAAGCTTCTTCTATTTCTTCTTCTTCTTCTTCTTCTTCTTCTTCTTCTATTTCTTCTTCTTCTTCCTCTTCTTCATGCTGACACTGAAATATCTTTCCTTTAGTCCATTTTGTTAAGGGTTTTTAAAAAAAATAATGTAACTGTTGGTAATATTATACACAGCAGCGCATCTTAACCACCCATGACAATAGGCAAGTGCAGAATGACAAAATAGTGACATGTTAAAACTCTAGATTAGCTCACACATCACATCTTTTGAATTTTGGCTCACATTAAATGTATTATTTTCTATTTTGGTATTATTTTCTAATTTGTACCAAAATGAACTTCACATTGTTCAGAATTGCATTAATCATGACCTAGCTATATATTATTTGAAAAAAAAAAAACTTTATGTCCCTAGTCCAGTATTTTGTCCTTTTGTTTTTGGAAGATCTGGACCTATGATTTCATAATAGTAGGGAACTCCCTGAGTAAAACCTCCCCCCACTCATGTAAACAAGCAATTGCTCTGCAACTCACAGTCTTTTTTCTGCCTTTTTTTATTTTTATTTTTTTAATTTTTTTATTAATTTATTTTGATTTATCAATAATCATTTCCATATGCTTTTGAGTTTAAAATTTTTCTCCCCCTTCCTCCCCACCACCCTCCCCAAGACGGTGCATAATCTGATATAGGCTATACATTTACATTCATATTAAACGTATTTTCACATTAGTGATGTTGTAAGTAGAAATTAAAATCGATAGGAGGAACCATCAGAAAGAGGAAACAAAACTCAACAGAAGAGAAAAAAATAACAATTCGACTTCCACAGTTCTTTCTTTGGGTATGGATAGCATTTTCCATCACAAGGCCTCTGGAGATGTCTTAGATCCTTGTATTGCCAGGAAGGGTTAAGTTTATCAATATTAGTCATCACACCACATTCTCTTGGCTCTGCTCACTTCACTCAGCATCAGACCATACAAGTCTTTCCAGTTTTTTCTGAAGTCAGCCTGTTCATCATTTCTTATACCACAATAGTATTGCATCACATTCATATACCACAACTTGCTCAGCCATTCCCCAATTGATGGGCATCCTCTCAATTTCCAATTCTTTGCCACCACGAAAAAAGCTGCTATGAATATTTTTGTACATGTAGGTCCTTTTCCCATTAGTGTGATCTCTTTGGGATTTAGCCCTAGAAGTGCTATGCAACTCATAGTCTTAAAGAGTGGTCTAGGACACTGAAAGATTTAATAGTTTGCTTTAGGGTCTCATAACATGTCTATCTGTCTACAGAGAGAGAAAGAGAGAGAGAGACAGAGACAGAGAAAGACAGAGACAGAGCCAGAGAGACAGAGACAGGGAGGGAGAGAGAGAGAGAGATTTCAGAGGAAGGATTTGAAAGCAGGTCTTCCCGACAAAGCACAGTCCTCTATCCATTAGGGCACACTGCTCCATGCATTGAGTAGGCATTCAATAAATGTTACATCTCTACATCTCTTAAAAATATGGGAATTTATATTCTTTCTTACATGATCCATAAATATTAAGTTCTCAGTTGTATCCCTGGAAATTAGTTTCTTACTATATTTTATTTCATCACTATTTGGGGTTAGTAGGTAATATCTAAATTAGAAATCAATAAAAAGAACCATCTGAATTACTAAAACATCTGGATAAAAAGCAGAAAAATCCTTTTAGTCGTCCAGATGTTCTTTGTCAACAGTTTTCCAGGTGAAGATATTTGGAAACATTAAAATAACTGAATGAATTTTTTGTTTTATTTTTCAACAGATTTTGGTATTATGTAGCCACAGCCCATTGTATCTACATGTGAAACCAATACAACTATAGCAAAAAAAGTTGAAATCAACAAAATAGGCATTTTCCTTTTCAAAAATAACTAGTTTGACTTAAGTTTTCACCATTCACTTGCTATTTTCACATCACATAGACAGTGCCAATATGTGAACTGCTTATGTAGAATTTTCTTGCTAATTCTACAAACTGCTGACATCTTTCAAACTTTGGATGAGACCAAAACATGCTGAGACTTAGAACCCACATCTTGATTTTTAAGATTGCCAATGTGTTATTTCCAATTTGCAAACATGTGTTTCCCCAAGCTACTTTCATTGTAGCAATTGTATTTACTTGCCTGTGGTGGATTTTTTTTTCCCTAAAAGTTGACAGCTATTAAAAATATAGAACATCTTAAAGGTTAGCCAGTGTCCTTATTAAAATCCAGGGAAATGCTGAAATAAGAAGAGAGAATTGAAATTGGTTCATCCCTTCTCAATTTATTGAGATGCATCAGATTTTGGCTAGGATTTTTAAAAATAGTATTTTACATATCCTTCCCACTTTTTGTGAATAATAGCATTTTGAACTATTTGAACTTGTCATTTGTAGAGCTGACTTCTTTCAAACTACTCGAAGGACTAATTGCTCAGCTCTGTTCGAAGTGAGTCTAAGACAGCACATCCCTTGGAAATTTTAAACATGGCTAGCACGTCTCTCCTGCAAACCACATTCTATATGCAGCTCCAAGTGAATGTCATCCGTTCATGAGATAATTTGCTAGAAATACTAATTTTGGGATGAACCCTTGATTCCAAGTATCTTTTCAAAAACTTTAGTTTCTCCTTAGAATGATCTAAAAGATAGCATCTGCAGACATTGTATTTTTTTTCCATTTACAGAATTTGAAGCCTACTGGGATTCTTTCAAATGCCAACATAATTTTCAGACAAAGAACTTGAAAGTTATTTATTTTATACCTCCTGTTTTATTCACCTCTTTAGTACATGAAACCTTTTAAATATTGCTTTTGACTTTTTAAAGCTCCTTTTGGTTCTACCAGACTAGTGTTACCTTATTGTACAATTTACTGAAGGCTAATAATTATTAGGACATGTAGTAGGCGGTTATCACAAGTAACATCATACTACTCGCTCTATGTACAAGCTACAATAGGGCAAATGGTACAATTAAAGGCACATTCTTTGGTGCATAACAATAGAAGCCTAGTGACATTGTGAGATTAAGAAAAGGCTAAAACATCTTTAAAACTACTCATTACCACCAGTCAAAATGTGCATATTTGACCTTTATGGTAATCAGTAGTATCTCTGCTTGTGCAGTATGTGGCTAAATAATCTTCATTTTAGACACATGGTTTTCCTTGAGATGACCTCAGGTTAACGCGGTTGATCCTGAAACTGACACAGACATTGAATCGACTCATCAGCGGTCATGATGAGAGGCCACCATATTCATCACCCAGGATATAGTGACAGGATAAAAACAGTGTTGCAGATTTTCCCTGTAAGAGACAGCGGTACTTAAATGTTGATGGCAGCTGTAGATTTAGAAGGTTGCTAAATGACTTAAAAACCAACCCCCTTCCTCCCTGAGGTGCAGATTCACTCTGTAGTATGATAATAGGGCAAGTTGCATCAAAGATAATTGCTTAGTTTATTACCTTGTTGTCTTATTATTATATCAAAGCCTCATTCTGGATTCAGAAGTCTCTTCCTCTTGATCTTCCTGCTTCCCTATAGGTCTACTATTAACCCCACTCATTTTAATTTGAATATATTATCAGTCTCTATGTACAATCTTAAAGCTAAATTATCATCTCCAAATGATAGAAAGTCTACAATATTACTGAAACTAATGTAGCAACTCCACCATCTAAAGAGACAAAGGGCCCTTTATTGTATGGAATAAATTAAAACATTCTCTCAATGTCCCTCCCTCAAACATTATACCTGAAGATCGAGAAATCAGTAGCTAGAATGGTTTTAATTCTTGAATAATGGACACTTAAAATCAAATGAAGCCAATTTTTGGAGTGGAGAGATTATCATCCTCTGATTTTAATACCAAAACATCATACCAGGTAACAGCAAGATAATTATGCCATAGATGTTATTTCCCTGGTGGTCTTGGGAGCCAGTAATGTAACTTGAAGAGATAGAATAATTTAGCAGCCACCAAAATGATGGTAGAGACAAACTTGGGAAAAAAAAGCAACCAGAAGAAGATTTTTCAAAGCACAAAGTCTAATTTCCCCAATACGTGTGGCTTGGCTGACACTTAAAAGTAGTCATTCGTAATTTCCCTAACATATACAATATTAATTTGTGTGTACCCAGAAAATCTGGCTACTTCCTGTACTTCAAAGTCATTGCCTTTGCTACGAGACCTAGAAAGTGCTTCAGGATTCATTATGACATGTGGAATATATAAGCAATAAGGCATGACAGGGAGTGTGGTTATCATAAGATAATCACACCCCTGGGTCATTACAAAGCAGGAGGTGCAGTGGAGCACCTCTCATTCCCCCTGGGGTGTGATTATATCATGATAAGCACACTTCATGCAGTTACCTTATTGCTTTTATAAAAAGTCTTTGTTGGGAAGAAAAACTGTATTTTTTTGCTTAAAGAAGATAAAGTTGGCAGTTTACAATGCTGAACAGTAGTTTCAGCTAAGCTGAATGGTTTATACGTATTAATCTACCCCCTTAAGAATGTACAGCTGCCAATGCCAATCAGAATTCATCACTCCAAGCCAGTTTCCATTCAGCAGTTCTGTGTTCAAATGATTCATCCTAGGAAAAAAAAGTGAAGCATTATCACACAAAGTCCAATATCCAATAACTGCTGTTGGAAACATTTTTTTTTAAACACAAGGCAAAAATGGATGGGAAGGGGACAAAGGGAAGAGGAAAAACTCAACAAAATCATACTGGCAAATTCAAAATGCTGGCTAAAACAGTTGGTAGATGGTAAGATTTTTAAAGTTCCTTGTTTACTCCCATTTATGTAGGATCTCTTTCACAAATTCACAGTGACAATTCAATTTAGGGTGCTAGGTCGAGCACTAAATCCCATTGCTGTCATTCATATGATAGCCTAAGGCCCCTACTGTGATCTCTCAAATTTACAAATGTCTATCTTGGATTATGCAATATGTTTTCTATGTGACACTAGATAGATTTGCTAAATCTCATTTCCTGCTTTACAAAAATGAGCATACTCTAACATAATAATATTACTATAATCATAACAATAATCATAGCTTGAGATTTTCTACCATGCCTAACTTCTGAGCAGCTCTAAGTGTTTAGCATACATTTCTATCATTTTTTTTTCAGTCCTGTGAGGAAATTAAAAGATGAACAGTATTTTCCCCATTTCATAGATAGGGAGCCTGAGGGACAGAAAAGCCATTCCATGATCAAGGTAAATTTTGAAATCAAACCCAAATATCCTAATTCCCAATACATAAGTCTTTCTACTAGACCTTGGGCAATATTCCTTAGCTTCTGGGTCACACTGTAAAATGAAGTTGAAATAGATGATCACTAAGGTCCTTTCTATTTCTAAAATTTTATGATTCTGCAAGAGATAATTAGCTTGAACATTAATGCTAAAGAGAACATCAAAAGTTTGACCCCACCTCAGATTGTTTGATTTTACTCTGTTCTATGGATAGACTAAGAATCTCAACAAGCCAGTTATTGGCCATCCTCTCTGACAGAATAAAGACTAGATTAAAGTACAAATCCATCTTTATTTTAAAAAAATCAAAGTGGGAGCTGTACTATTGACATGCCAATAATGTCACCATCACAAGAAAGAAAACTAGGTTAAAAAGTAGGATGGATTAATTATGAGTTAGGCATCATGCATCTATCTTCACAAAGACAATTTAAATTATTTTTATTTGGACATGTTCTCTTCTTGTAACGATCTACTTTGAACTTATATTTTGTAGCCTTCTGACTCCTGAAGCTGAGCATTAAGAGGCAGCAGGACATAGTGAATAGGGCGCTAGATTTGGAGTTAGGAAGACCTGCCTCAGACGCTTATTATCTGGGTGACTCTGGGTAAGTTACTTAACTTCTCTGTGCCTCAGTTTCTTCATCATTAAAATTTAGCAGTTGGTTGCTTTCTCAAGGGGTAGAGGAGGGGCAGGTGAGAAGGAAACAATTTGGAACTCAAAATTAAAAAAATTTTTTTGCATATAATTGGGAAATATCTAATAAAATAAAAATTTTAAATAAAATTAAGCAGTTGGACTCCATGGCCTTCTAAGATCCTTACTATCTCCTTAATCTATTATCTATGAACTCTTTTATAAAGGCTCAATCCCACCCTATATTGTGGAATCAATCATGTCCCTAAGCAGGAAGAATATAACAAGCCTTGAATTCACAATTCAGAGGCTATTTTTCTTCCTCTCTTTTGCTGATATTGATAACTCAGGTCCCTACTATTTCAATTCAAGTCACTTCAATTCAACAAATATTTAATAAATAAATATTATATGCCAGGAACTGTTCTAGTTAGTGGGGTTACAAAGACCAAAATAAAGAGTCCCTACCTTTAAGGAGTTTACATTCTACTATAAGTTGGGAGGGATTCATCATATAAACAAGAAGGTACAATACAGAGACAGGTCATGATGGGGACAAAGGAAAGAACAATGAGTTGTAGAAGGATTTGAGGAAGGAGCTAGGGAAATCAGGGAAGACTAAACAGAGGAGGTAGCACTTGACTTGAGCCTAAAACAAGATAAAAAATTATAAAGAGGAAAATGTATCCTAGGAATGGTAGAAAGCCCTTGAGAATGTACAGAGACAGGTAATGACAGGTTGAATTCATGAAAGACCTAGAAGCTCAGGTTGACTGGACCTTAGAATGTATTAAGAAAAGTAATATGAAATAAGACTAGAAAGTTGGGCTGGAGTTAGACTGCAGAGTGGCAAATTCCAGGCTAAGCAGCTAACATTGAATCCTAATAGCTGCTAGAGCAACATGTCTCACACATTGGCCCTCCATACCACCACTCCCAAATGCTACCCCAACATCTAGTCTCTCTGTGGGTCTGAATACATACAAAGCTATGAACTTGGGTTCACTATGAACCCAAGTTTTAATTTGTTCTATATCAAATAAGCAATTGGGAACCACTAAAGATTTTTTAGCAGGAGGCTGACATAGTTAGGCCTTTGCCTTAGAAAGAGAATTTTGACAGTTCTATGAAGAATAGATTAGACCAAATGGTATGGGTTAGATTAGTTAACCTTGAGGGCCCTACCAATTCTCAAATTCTATGATTTTGTGATTGGTGATACCAGAGATTGGAATTAGAGAAATCAATTAAATAGTCACCATATTATTGTTTGAGGTTCTAAACTAAAAAGGTGTGTGAATTACTTGGGACAAGCAATAATGCCAAATTATTTCTCAGAAAAGAAGCAAAGATTTTAAGAGGGACTTAGCTGTTGCATGATGGTTATTGATTTCACTGGTGTGTAGTGGGTCTTCAGGGAGGGCTAGAACCTTTGTTGTGAGGGCTTGCTGAGCACTTTCAGGGTCACTTATCTACTTTGGTGTCCACTCTTCACCCAACTCTCCCCTGTGGCTCCAAGAAGCTATAGCATGGTCAGCAGCCCCACCCTGGTAAAACCATCTTGGCAAACAGGCTAAACCAGGTTGAGGGTAACCAACAGGCCTTAAACCCATCAGTGAGTTAGAGAGATGTCTATCCCAAGTATGTGAAGACTTCCCCAGAAGAATGGGCAGATGAGAACAATTTGTTCCAATGGCCATGAAGGCCGTTGAAGCAGGCACTGTGGAGGCTTGGAGCTTGGTCAGACATCAAAAAAAAAAAAAGCCAAGGTTATTTATTGCATCCTGTGTTGTAGCCAGTTGTCCCAACTTTTGTCTTGCCAATGGACTTCAATGACTGGAAGGCAGAGTGAGGCTGATGACTTTGTGCTACTCTGCCTCACTTAAATCCAATTTATGTTCAAGTCAAGTCATCATTCCGTGATGTCATTGGTCCTGTTTGAAATGAAGGATGAATAACAACTTGATTTCACTATAATGTGATACAAATACAAGCATCTTCAAGTTGAAACTACAGTAATAAAACTAGTTTTTGGCTTTGGTTTTGTTTTGGGTTTTTTTTTAAGCAGCTACTTACTAACCATTGCTATGAAGAAAAAATGTTTGTTGAGGGCAAAGCAATATAAAAATTACAGTATTAAGATTGGGAAAAGGTAATTTTCACTGATGAAACTCACCTTTCTATTCAAGAAGCTGTCATTGCCACCACCACCACCACCACTACAAATCTCATTTGGTCCTTCCAACAACTCAGAGTTAAGAAAGCTTTTTATCTCCACTTTACCCATTAGGAAAATGAGGCTGAGAGATTAAGTGATAAAGGGTCAATCAGAAGAAGTCCAGGTGAGCTTGTAAAATTGGAACTTCATCAAACTGTTGACTAATAGAAACGTTAGGAGGATTGTTTACTTCCAGTAGACTGGTAATTCGTGTCCCTGCTGTGGGAATAATGAACTCTGATAAATATATAGACATACTGAAAAGTAGAATTGCTCTAGAATTACAGAAATTTCCAAATGGCAACAAAAATACTGCAATATGACCTTGCACACTATCAAGTCACAGAAAGATGAAGAAATGTAGCTAAGCAATGAAGATAAATATTCTTTAATGTCTTGGGAATTCATCTTCTTTAAATACCATTAAAACCTATGGGATAGAATCAAAACTAGACCTGGGAAAATGAACTGTTCATCAAAGGTTTGCTTAATATCTAGTATGATATGTACTTTTATGATAAGGAATGAAAGATATGTTTTAAATCTTGGGAATTCAATGACAAATTATATAAAACAAGTGATTGAACCAAAAGGACATAAGAAAATTGAAGTTTTTTTTTTCAATATATAGAAAATTATAGGGTTTATTGTATGTCAATATATTGATAGGAAGATTGAACCAAGTACTAAATGTCTTAAGAAACAAGGGAGAGTAATTTAGCGAGTGTTGGGTAACAGCAACAAGGATAGGTACAGATTGATATGATTGGATAAATTGAAACTCTAAGAAGGCCACTTAATGATGATGGCAGTGGAAGGGTTTGAAAGTGATAGTGGGGAATGAGGGATATATTGACTTCTGGCAAAGAGCATTCTAGAACATGAGAAAGGTAGCTATCCTAGGAGAAGGTATCAGTAATGAAATGAAAAATAGGTTCTTGTAAATGGTTGGAAGAAGAAAAGAGTATGAGAGAAAGATATTTAGGTTGGAGGGAAATTTTTAACCACAGAATGGGGAGCTCTGGGGGGGTACAAAGTAAAAGAAAAGTAGAAAACAATAGGATCTTGGGTGGATTTCACAAAATTCCAAGCCCTGTATCTAACCCTGTCTAATATGTGAATGTGAAAGCAAAGTCTATTGTGCTGTCATTAATGTGGCCTGACTCTGAATCCTCCAAGACAAGCCTGACTCTGCCTTTCATGAGGGGGTTGTTTCAAGCCAGTATTGCCACTATCATCCTGCGCTTGGCAAAGAGCACTGTGGGTTTTGCTACTGCTAGGACCTGACTCTTTTCTTCTATGCTGGGACTGGGTCCTTCAAGCCAGAGGGTCACTGTCATAGAGGGACAATCTGATCCACCAAATTGATGGGGTCAGAAACTCACACAGGGTGAGTCAGCCAACTCTGAAAGATTCCGGCCAATAGTGCCAGAGCTAAGGTTGGGATGCTGCTACTGCCTCACTTATCCTCT